GGGGAGAGGGGGAAACAGTCAACCTCTAGTGCTATCAGTCCGGAGATATCTGCGCAGGGTGATGTATGCGGGCGCAAGATCGATGAATCGATTGACTAAGTTCTTATCCGAGGCCCAGGCTTCAATCAATTTGTGGCCTGTTGTTGCTGACGTGCGCGATTGCCCTGGCAGCTGCGCCGGCATACATCGCGCTGCGCAGGCATCTCCGGACTAATGACGCTGGTGGTTGACTGTCCCCCCCTCTCCCCTCTTTCCCTTCCCCCTCTCCTCCCTAACGGTTGATTGGTCCCTGTGTCCTATAACTGTTGCTTGTCTTTCGTTAACGCCTTTTATTTCTGATGATGGACTCCAGAAAGAGCCCGAAAGCAATTAAAATTATGATTCCGGTGATTGCAACGTCTTCTACTTCTCTACCTTCATTAATAGCTGTCCCCTCTATGATGATTGACGTTTGCGGAAAATGACCTAGTAAATCGGTAATTAATACATTGAGAAGTATTCCGGTTGCTCGATAAAAAATCGGCTATGCTTGAAATCCTTTTTTCTATAGGGCGGCAACAATCACCTTCTAGGAGTGAGAGCCTTAATGTCTGCATTGTTTTTTTAGACCGAAAAGAAGCATCTTCAGTCACCAGACACAATAAGGCTCTATGTCTACACTGACAACCCAAAAGCCGTACATTCTGTATTTTGTGAACTGATCCAGTCATCTAATTTGCCTGAACTTGATTTGAGTGATGATCAAGACGTGAAAAACCCCAAAAAGGAGCCTGGTCTAGAACTCCTTCACCGCACAAAGAAAGTTTCACTGAAAAAGAATTTTCCAAAAAAGTTCACTTCAAAAGTCGGTGACCAGTTTCCGCCCGATATGGAAAATTACACGCAAAATTCTGTAAATCCCAACTTGAATGACCTTCTAAAAATGCCAGAAAACACGCGTAAAGCAGGCTGCCTTGTAGAAATTCCAGTAAAGGCAGGTCTGGAGCCCAACATTGAAGCCGGCGACACGAGGATTCGCTACCACTTACGGGTATGTTTTACAGCATAAATTTTTAAGGTATTTCCAATTCGTGACGGATATTCTCTCTCCAATAATGTCACGTACATTTCGAGCAATCTTTAACTTTTGCTGTTTTCACACCCCAGTTAAAAAGGCTGCCAGAGCACCGTCAGCTAACGTTTGTAGTCCGAAGGTAATAACCCATGGTGCTTCAAAAATGCTATTTGTGAGCAGTTAAATTTAGATCACCAAACAATTTATTTCAATAATCGATCATTTGCGCGCGAAAATTAAATAGGGGACCATCTTAGGCATTGTTCTTACTTAAAAGGAATGTCAAATGTCTAATTGATTAGAAAACTAAAATTTCTCAAGTATCGTCGAGTTCCGAAGACGTTAAAAAATAGCTACAAGTTAGACAAATAAATTTAAACCTTATTGTCAATTTGAAGGGTAACTATACCATTTCCTTTATATCAAAAGGCTTTTTCTATAGACAACAGTTTTTCTACATATTACCGTTATGGGATTACAACTACCTAAAGATGGACCTTGAAATATTGATAAATTTTCGAACGCTTTAAGCGCTGTCACGATTTGTTCCATTTATACAGATTATGCTCAGTGTTTATATCAAAACCTTTAAAATAAGATATTCATTGAGAGCATTATCAAAAAGAATGAGTTTTGGCTATGAGGTATTACGAAGATGGCCATGTGGACCATATTTAGAGATTCCTAAAAACCGCAAAATACATTGTCAAACAAAAAGAACGTCTGCAACAGAAGCGCGATATCTTTATTCCCAAGAAAACCCTTTGATTAAATATACAGCTAACGGGTATATGCGCATGTTACTGTTTTTCAATGTCATATTAAAATTTATATGAACATTCTTGACAAGTTTTTTTGTTTACCTGAAGATAAATAATAAAGTTTGACTAGAATTGAAGAAACTCACTTTTCTCTTTAGATTAAAATATCTTCCGCCATAGGGAATTATTGACAGGTTCTGTTTTAAGCTTGCGAATCCAAAAAAATATCGCCGAAATTATACTAAGATACTGCAATAACTATTAATCTTCTGTCTGTTCCGTTTCTAAATTACGTATAAACAGAAATTGTAGTGTACAAAAAGTGCATTTCTGCATGAGTTAGATTTAATAAGATCTGCTTTTACCTTCACCTTCACGATAAGGTGTGGCCAATTTTGGTTACGTCCCAAATACTTGATTCGGTTAAACAAAATATGGTCAGTATTTTTCTTTGCTGCATTTTGCGGCAAAGACAACTTCAAGGCTAAGCAAAAAATAGTTTGGTAAACTAACATCGTTCCTTGTTTCTGTAAATAAATGCGATAAAGTAATTTTGGCTTCACATGCATTTGAGCAAATTCGCACTAAATTTTCCGGTTCTGCAAGTGATATTTTTTAAACGTTCCTTACTTATGGATAAGGAAGAAGACTTGTCGAGCACCGGATCAATAGATTTATTGTCCTGAGCTTTCGAACTCTTGCAGGAGTCTATTTTCAGAGGTGAGAAGTAGCAACAAAACAATGGTAATTATAGTGGACATAGGCCAATCAAGTGTCAGAAATAATCAAGTTGTCAGGACGTTAGAAACAGCTATCAACAAGGATGGGGGAGGGAGGCAATTAGTTGTCAGAGGAGTCGGGGCAATTATAGTGGTGTATGCTAATTAGCTGTCCGTGGAGCAGAGGATAGTGAACAGCAATTAGTGTGACGCCTTGTTACCCGTTCGAGGGTCCTGGTAACCCTAGCTCCTCTTCTGCCTGGCCCGTCGGGCGATCTTCTTCGTTCGGTTTGGTCCTTCGGTCTCATAATGGCGCAAGGCTTTGTAGGCAGCGGGGAGATCTAGATGCCTGTTGATGTAGTTGGAATTTGAGTATCATAGCCACTATAATTACCCTTGTTTTGTTGCTACTTCCCACCTCTAAAGATGAACTCT